GGCAGAAAGTATCAGACCACCAGCTGGTTTACAACTCACCCAGGGAAGGTCACACCTCTGTAACAGAAAACCAGGACAAGGGAAGGAACCCCTCAGGGCTCAGAGGGTAAACCTCTCAAGGTGTTTTCCTGTGGAAGCCAGATAAAAGGCCCTCAAGGGGACGTGCTTCCCTGCACTCCGGGCGCCTCCAGCTCCCGGGACAGGCAGACCCAGTGGACCACAGGAAAGGCGGCCCTATCTACACCAGCCCCACAATTGTGCTTCTCTCTAGCCCATGCTTGCAGCCACAGGATCAATCCATTTTGCCTTTGGTCCTCCTCGTGTTCGCTGCCCCTCGACCAAGAGGGTGTCCAAGCATGGTGTCCTTCTCTCTTGACATGTCCATAGTATATAAGACGAAGTCTCGCCACCCTTGCCTCTAAGAAGCACTCTGGACCTACTTCCCCCAAGGCAGTCCGTGGGACCACAGTTCATATGCATTGATTCTTCTTTGGTCTTCTTCATTCAGTGTCCAGCTTCACACGGACATGGTCAGTTTCAACCCATCGCAATCCTACGCACAACAGCAGGAAACGCTGCACAGTCCTGCGCCCTCCTCACGATTGTCGCGATGTCTGAGCTCATGCTTGCAGCCACGGTGTCCACCCACCTTGCTTTTCCTCTGCTCCACTTTACCAAGCACGGTGGGTGTCCTTCCCCAGGGACTGATCTTTCCCAGCATGTCCAAAGCATGTGAGATGAAGTCTTGCCATCCTTGCCTCCAAGGAGCGCTCTGGCCTTCCTTCTTTCAAAACAGATCAGTTTGTCTTTTTAGTGGTTCCGGTTACTTTCAACATTCTTCTCCAGAGCCATCAATCAGATGCATTGATTCTTCTTTGGTCTTCCTTATTCAATGTCCAACTTTCACAGGCACATGAGACCATGGAGACCGCCATGGCTGGGGTCAGACACACCTTAGTCCTCAAAGTAACATCCTTGCTCTTCAATACTCTAAAAAGATCTTGTGCAGTAGATTTACTTAATGTAAAATGTCTTTTGATCTCTTGACTGCTGCTTCCATGAGCCTTGACTGTGGATCCAAGCAAGATGAAGTCCTTGACAACTTCGACCTTTCCCCATGTATCATGTAACTTAGGGGTCCGGTTGCGAGGAGTTTGGCCTTCTTTACATTGAGTCATGATCCATACTGAAGGCTACAATCCTTGACCTTCATCAGAGCTTCAAGTGCTCCTCACTTTCAGCAAGCGGGATTGCGTCATCTGCACATTGCAGGTTAATCAGCCTTTCTCCGACCCGGATCCTACATTCTTCTTCATATAATCCAGCTTCTCTGATGGTCTGCTCAGCATGCAGATGGTGAGGAAAGAACTGACACACACCTTTCCTGCTTTTAAGCCCTTCAGTATCCCATGTTCTGCAGTCACTGCTGCCTCCTGATCCAAGCACAAGTTCCACCTGAGCACAATCAAACGTTCTAGAATTGCCCTTCTTCTCAAGGTTACTCACACTTTACAAAGTCAAATGTCTTTGCTCAGTCCATAAAACACAAGTAAACATCTTTCTGGTATTCTCTGCTTTGAGCCAAGATCCGTCTGACATCAGCAATGACACCCCTTCTTCCACGCCTCTTCTGAATCCAGCTTGAGCCTCTGGCAGCTCCCTGTCCATGTGCTGCTGCGACAGTTGTTGGATGATCTTCAGTAAAATTGTACTTGCATGTGATATCAGTGCTATTGTTCTGCAATTTGAGGCCCCTGCTGGGTCACTTTTCTTTGGAATGAGCACAAATATGGATCTCTTCCAGTCACTTGGCTGTCTTCCAAATTTCCTGGCCTAGACAAGTATTTCCAGTGCTTTAACAGCTTGGTGTGCCGTCCATTCCTGGAGCCTTCTTTCTGGCTAATGCATTCAGTGCAGCTCTCACGGCTTCCTTCGACACCACTGGTTCTTGCTCATGTGCTTTCCTGAAGTGCTGGGATGTCAGCTAGTTCTTTTTGGCACAGTGACTGTGTACCCTTTCCATCTTCTCTTGACGCCTCCTGCATAATTCAATGTTTGGCCCATAGATCTTTCAATACTGCAACTCGAAGCCTGATATTTTTTTCCTGAACCTTTCAGTTTAAAGTACGCTGCGTGTCTTTTTCCCTTTGGGTTTTCTAATCTAGGTCCTTTCATATTTCATTATAATATTTGGCTTTGCCCCCATCCCAAAATATTTGTCTTTGATATTTGTCTTTGTCTTCTCAAGTTGCTCTTTAAATTTTTCTGATAAGTTCTTTGACGTCATCCTTTCTTCCATTTGCTTTAATTAATCTATGATTGAGAACAAGTTTCAGAGTTCTGACATCCATTTTTGATCTTTTCTTTCTTTCCTGCATCTTTAATGACCTTTTGCTTTCTTCATGAGTGATGTTCTTGATGTCATCCCACAGCCCATCAGGTTTTGTCATAAGTGTCATCAAATCTGTTCTTGAGATTGTTCTCAAAATTCAGGTGGGATAGACTCGTGGTTGTATTTTGGCTCTCTTAGACTTGTTTTAATGTTTTCAGCTTCAACCTTAACCTTAATGTGTAACTGATGGTCTGTTCCGCAACTTAAATATGCGCAATTGATGGTCTGCTCCACAGTCAGCCCCTGGCCTGGTGTTAGCTGCTGATGTTGAACTTCTCCATCGTCTCTTTTCACAGATGTAGTCGATTTGATTTCTGTGTATTTCATCTGGAGCAGTCCATGTATACAGCCATTGTTTGTGTGGAAGGGGGAAAAAGGTATTTGCTACAAAGAAGTTGTTGGTTTTTCAAAATCCTGTTTTGCAGTCTCCAGGTTTGTTTCCATCACCACGTATTTTCGAACTGCTGTTCCTTCCTATTTGTTTCCCATATTTGCATTCCAATGACCAATAATTATCAATGCATCTTGATTGCATGTTTGATCCATTTCCAACGGAAGCCATTGGTAGAATTCTTTGATTTCTTCATCACTAGCTTTAAATTGGAACAACAGTTTTGATTGGATGTCCTTGAAGACAGATAGATACAACCCTATCGCAGTCAGCATTGTATTTCATGAGTGATAACCCTTTAGCACTGTGTCTGACAATGTTCTGCTTCTATTCGTTAGGCCTTCGAGAGCTGACAGTGTTTTGAGTCTAAGATGAGGCTTTCAGTGGCTGCTTCCGCTGAAGGGGCAGTCAGTTCCTTCGTGGTTGTCAGTTTTTAATCTGGAAGCTCTGCTGAAATTTGTTCACCTTGGGTGACCCTGCTGGCATTTGAAATACCAGTGACATAGAGTCCAGCATCACACAAGCCACCAGAGTATGACAAACTAGCAGACTGGTGGTAGAATTATTCAATTTCTGTATCATTCGCTTTCACAGTTGGTGTATAATTTGGAATGATTGTTTTATTGCCTGGATTTCCTTGTGCGCAGCTGGACACTATCTCCTCACCGACAGCCTTGTACTTCAAGACCGAGCCGGAGATGTTCGTCTTGAAGATGAATGTGAGGCCATTCCTCTGGCATGCGTCTTCCCAGCGGAGTAAACCACACGGTGCTCTGACTCGCAATGACTAATACAAAATGACGTATTTTGCTACTAGCGCCTAGGACAGCGATCTGTATGCATTCCATTTTATTTTTGATGACTTCTAATATTCTGATTCATACTTCGCACATTCTAAGTTTCAATTATTAATAGATGTTTTCAGCTGGTTTTTTTTTTTAGGGGGGTGGGTGGGTTCTCGTTTTGAGTAATGCACCATCAGTAAATGAAGGTCCCAAGGCTTTACTCCTGCAGGTCCCCCCCCCCCCGACCCCCGCCCACGTCCTTATGGAAACCAGCAGCTAAAAACATACAGCCCCAGCCACCCCTGAGCTGCTCCAGATCCACAAGAGGTGGTCACCCCTTTTAAAAGGCCCCGGGTGCCCTGCTCCACCCAAATTGAACCTGCACAGTGGTGCTGTGGCAGCCTGGCCTGATGCCCATCACTTCTGGAAGGGCACCGCCACGATCCTGCATAGAACCCCCTCCAGAACAGGTGGCACCAGCAGTTGGGGGTAATCATATTTGAGAGGTGGGGGGCAGGGGAGGGGGTGGAGTAGGAGCTGGGTGGGGAGCAGCTGGACACAGGGGTTTCCTGGATTTGTACCCACCTTGACCATGTGAATGGCCTTGATCAGGCAGTCGCCTCTCTGAGCCACAGTAGACAGTCTTGGTGGTGCTGTGGGCTAAGCACCAGGCTGCTGATTGTGAGGTCAGCAGTTCAGACCCACCAACCACTCGTTGGGAGAAAGAGCAGTCTGCTCCTAGAGACTGCAGACTTGGAGACCCACGGCGGCAATTCTGTCGTCCTGCAGGGTCACTGAGTCAGCATTGACTCAACAGTTGGAGGGCAGGTGGTGAAACTTCACCTGAAAACCAGGTCCCATGTGCTGGACTTGTTCTGATCATTGGGGTACACACTAAGCAGTCCTGCCCCCCACAACCCTCATGGATAGATACCCTGGGAGAGATGGATGGCCAAGGGTGGATACAATGGGACAAGTCCCCAGGGGTAGACACACAGGATGAATGCCCAGTGATGGACAATGAAGTGCAGATGGCCCAGTGAACTTTATTGGTCCAGAGAAGAACAGCTAATGAGGACCAAATGTCAAGGGGTGGACGCCCAGGGATAGTACCCCAGGGAAGGATGGACACTGGGATGGATGCCCAGTGATAGGCGTAGGGAGGGGTGGACACCCAGGGATAGGCATAGAGGATGGTGGTGCCCAGTGACCAGCATGGGGGGAACGCTCAGGGACAGGCCCCAGGGAAAAACACACGAGGGACGGATGCCCAGTAGTGAGCATGTAGGGGTGGATGCCCAGGGACAGGCCCCAGGGAAAAACA